TTCCTTCCTTCCTTCCTTCCTTCCTTCCTTCCTTCCTTCCTTCCTTCTTTTGTTTTTTTGAGACAAGGTTTTTCTGTGAATCCCTGGCTGTCCTGGAACTCACTCTGTAAATCAGGCTGACCTGGAACTCAGAGATCCATCTACCTCTGCCCCCTGATTAAAGGCATGTGCCATCACCACCCGGACTGATTTCTTTTTCAAATTAAACTATGCAAAAAGACTTTAAGGCACTAATATGTATCGATTTTGTACCTAATTTTGAAAACTTATGCTTTATACTCCATATAATGGTACCATGCTACACATAAACAAGATAAAATTAACTTTAGGGATCTTTTTTTTGCCTTTGTTAAGGTGTTGCTATATGTTAAAATTACGAGTTCAGTTCTCCCCTTTGCTTTTCCTGACACTGTTCTTTATATTACTTAATTCAAAGATCACCTCACACATCCTCATGGTTATTTAACAATGAATTAACATTACCTTGATTTCAATGTTTCCCACTTTGGTGGTTGATCTGATAATAGGTCTTCCAACCAAAGCTGGGAAGATGTGTTCCGGAAAGTTAGAACCTGCATATCCACACTTCACAAACTGAAAGGAAACAGTAAAAAGTGGGTTAGTAACCAAGCATTTACTACAGTTATTCAAAAACAGTATCAGAGCCAGGTAGCACATGCCTTTAATCCCAGCACTCAGGAGACAGAGACAGGGAGACCTTTGTGAGTTTGAGGCTAGCCTGTTCTACAGATTGAGTTCCAGGACAGCCAGAGCTGTTACACAGAGAAGCCCTGTCTTGAAAAACCAAACAACAAAAAACAGTATCAGAAAACCCCATTTTGAAGTAGTTACCCTTTCTATACATAGTATCATCTCTTTAAGTTCTCCCAGGTACCAAGTACTTTCGGAGCTTGTATTAGTTAGGATATCTATTGCTGCAATAAAATACCATGCAAAGCAACTTGGGAAGAAAAGTGTATGTTTGGCTTCCACTTCCACATCATATTCATCACTGAAGGAAGTCAGGACAGAAACTGAAACAGGACTGGATCCTGGAAACAGGAGCTGGTGTAGAGGCCATGGAGGAGTGCTGCTTACTGGCTTGCTAGCGGCTTGCACGGCCTTTCTTATACAACCCAGGACCACCAACCCAAGGATGACACCACCTACAACGGACTGCACCCTCTACCATTAAGAAAATGCCCTAAAGCCTTGCCTACAACCTGATCTCAAAGAGGCATTTTTTTCTTTCTTTCTTTCTTTTTTTTTTTTTTTTTTTGGTCTTTTGAGACAGGGTTTCTCTGTGTAGCCTTGGCTGTCCTGGACTCACTTTGTAGACCAGGCTAGCCTCATCCACCTGTTATAGAGGCACTTTTCTTAATTGAGGTTCCCTCTTCTCAAATGGCTGCTTGTGTCAAGTTGACATAAAACTATGCAACAGAGTTCATATTTAGTTTCAGAAGAGCTGCTTCCTTAGCACCTCAGTGTCCCCAGTGGGAAAGCTGCTCGAGTAGGGAGCTGAGTGGTTCATGTGAGAGCCTTATGCTGAAAAGAGCTTTAGCACACAGGGCTCATTCAGGCAGTATTTGGAAGCAGACACATTCACCCAACAAATTTTAAGCACTTTTTAAAAAGAGAAATAATAGAAAATAAACAGATAAAAGCTCAGATTCAAAACAAGGCCTTTATATGGTTGTTCGCTTAAGCAACCTCATTTACCCAAAATGGAAAAAAGGAAAAAATAAACATATCTGGACTAGAGCATCATGTGCAGTTTCACATGTAAAATGGTCATTTTAGCTATTTTTATTTTAATATTAGGTACATATATTTAGTAATATCAGGTAACAGTTTCATAACCAAATAGGGACCTTCTCTAAGGAGTACAGCAGGAATTCTAATAGTCATTTCATTTTACATGTTAGAAACTTTGCATTCGAGGAGATTTAGTAACCATAAATGGAAAGATGGGTGTGGTGCTTCATATGCTGTGATTACAGGCATGTGCCATCATGCTTGACAAGGAATCTCTTTTCTTTTTTAAGATACAGGGCTTTATATATGTTAAGCAAATGCTCTATCCCTGAACCACAGTCCTATCCTCAATATATTTTTCAAGAACAGACATTTCACCAAGGTATGGCTGTGCGCGCCTGTAATCTAAGCACTCAGGAAGCAGAGACAGAGGAACTACTCCAAGTTCAAGGGCACCCTGGTAAACATAGCAACCTCCAGGCCAGGCAGGGCCCGTTAATACTAACTTTAGTATAGGAGGATGTTACGGTCTGAGGATGGAATACCTCTATAGGCTCATGTGGCTGAATGCTTGGTCCCCAGCTGACAGAGCTGTTTTGAGGTAGATGTGTACACTTTAATAGGTAGAGGCCTAGTCAGAGGAAGTGCAGGCAGGTCTTAGAGCTCAGTCTTGTTTTTGGCTACATCTCTCTCTCTCTACTTCCTGGTTCACCAAAATGTGGGTAAGTAACCTCTGCCATAAAAAGGAACGGATCCTGCCATCACACATTCCCTGATACAATGGGCAGAATTATATTCTGAACTATGAGCCAAAATAAGCCCTTCTAACTTACTTTGATGAGGTACTGATTTAATAACCAGAAAAAGAACTAATACACGGGAAGATGCTGTGTCAAGAAAGAAAAGATTAGCCAGGTGGTGGCGGCACATGCCTTTAGCCCCAGCACTCAGGGAGGCAGAGGCAGGCGGTTTGCTGTGAGTTCAAGACCAGCCTGGTCTACAAAGTGAGTCCAAGACAGCCAAGGTTACACAGAGAAACCCTGTCTCAGGGTAAAAAAAAAAAAAAAAAAAAAAAAGTAAAAATCTCAACATTAATAAGGTCTTCATCTAATGCATGCTAAATTACAAGGATTTTGTGAATGCCTACAACAGAGTTTGACATATAAGAAGTGCATATTAAATAACTGATTTAAAAGAATTGTTCATTTACAAGCATGAGATTGTAATTATTTTGAAATGGGTTCCTTATCCATGGATTCAATTAATAGTGGATCAAAATATCTGAAGCAGGGCGAATGTCTTAGGGGGTAAAGGCACTTCTTGTCCAACCTGACAACCTGAATTCAATCTTCAGGACTCACACTAGGGAAGAATCAACTCCCACAAATCTGCCTTTTGCCTCTGTACATATGCTGTAGCACGTGCATGCCCACCTATTCACAAATAAATGAGGAAAAAAATATTTAAATCATATCTGAAAATACCTTTCATTATCATTCTTCCCTAAACACCATTTATATAACATTTACATTGCATTAGACTATGCATGATGCTATACTCCCATAATCCCTACACTTTGGAGGTGACAGGAGGAGGCTAGGAGTTCAAGGTCAGCCTTAACTGGCCAAACATAACATACAGAGTTTGAGGCCAGCCCGGACTTACACGAGACCTTGTCTCAAAATCATAAACTACTATGACGGCACTGAGTTAGGTAATCAACCAAGGTCATACACAGATATTATGCTACCTTATGAACAGCTACAAGTAGGTATATATACATTTGTTTAAAAAGAAAACGATAGACATATACAGGGGAATGGAGTGAGTCAATTCCCTACAGAAAAAGTCTATTTCATGGCATGAGGGACCATATACTTTTAGAAGGACTAAATGAAGACAGTACTCGGAAGTGATACACACAGTAATAATATAAAGGTAGACAGAAAGTCAGGCTGCTGAGGTAAGAGGACTGTTTACAAGTCCAAGGGCAGTCTGTGCTACACCATGAGACTCTTCATCAAGCGAACCAAAGAAATCCTAAACATAAACAGAAAATATTATATTATTCAATGCATACAATAGTGGGTTCACAAAACACTATCATATAAGTATACCATGTATTTTAACCACACCCCCTTCCATATCCTCCCCTTTTCCCTTCCTCCAGCTAGTGCCCTTTCTTGGATCAGAGTTTCACTTCTACTTTCATGACATGTAAAAAAATGATTTTGTATATCTATAAGAAAATCTGTGATCCACAAATGAAAGCATGATATTTATCTTTTGAAAGACCTTTTCACTTAATATATTCTCTAGTTGTATCCATTTTCCTGCAAATGACCTAATTTCATTCTTCTTTCTCTTTTAAAGTTTTATTTATTTATTATGTATACAATATTCTATCTACATGTAGACCTGCATGCCAGAAGAGGGCACCAGATCGCATTATAAATGGTTATAAGCCACCATATGGTTGCTGGGAATTGAACCATAACTTCTGGAAGAGCAACTAGTGCTCTTTCATTCTTTATGTCTGAAATTCTACTGTGACTATACAGTACATTTTATTAATTCATTTGCTGGCTGTTATGAACAGAGTAGAAATAAATAATTATCTGTGGGATGTTGACTTACTGTCTTTTGGGTGAATACTCATAGTAGTATAGCTATATCATTTTGATAGTTTAGTTCAATTTTTATCTTTGAAAAAAATAAAAATTGGGGGCTGGAAAGATGGGGGCTGGAGAGACGGCTCAGAGGTTAAGAACACTGTTCTTCCAAAGGTCCTGAGTTCAATTCTCAGCAACCACATGGTAGCTCATAACTATCTATAGTGAGATCTGGTGCCCTCTTCTGGTGGGCAAGCACACATACAGGCAGAACACTATAAATAATCAAGAAGAAAAAGAAAGAAAAGAGAGAGAAAGAAAGAGAGAGGAAAAGAAAGGAAGAAAGGAAGAAAGGAAGGAAGGAAGGAAGGAAGGAAGGAAGGTAGGTAGGTAGGTAGGTAGGTAGGTAGGTAGGTAGGAAGAAGGGCGAAAGAAAAATAGATCTGTCTCCCTGAGTGCTGGGATTACACCACACCCAGCAAATTCTGTCTTTAAAACTATGCTAAAATTATAATTTAAATGTAATTATGAAAAATGTCTGAAACAAAACTTGCAGGTTCAAGGCCAACCCAGGCTATCAAAACCCAAATCAAAACAAATATATAAATCTTTCATACTTTTTTTCCCAAAATCATAACATTTCTTTGTTTAAGTCAAAACCCAGCTTACCAAGTAACTGAGTTGAAATAATACCAAAATACAGAGGAAATATTCTCACCATATCCCCACCATATGCCAATTTTAGTATAAAATCTATCATCCAGACTACTGTCTTAACTTCCACATACATTCTGAATATACAAAGCTAAAATACTATTTGAATAAAAAAAAATTTCTTATGTTTAACCTTAAAAAAGGCCAGACAAAGAGGAGCAGGCCTATAGAGCCAGTACTTCTGAAGAGCAAAATCTTAGTTCAAGGCCAACATAGGCTAATCAAAACATAAAACAAAACAAAACAAAAAACAAAAAAACAGAAATTAACAGGTACAGACATCAGGCAAGTCAAAAGTACCCATTTATCAGGATGAAACACCCACTTATATGGATATAAATAGTCTCAAAGAAAATTACAAGCAGGTTAGCTAAGTGGTACAGTGCTTGCACAGGGCAGTGGGCGGAAAATCACAGCACTACCAAAAAAGCAAAACAAAACCAACAAAAAAACCACAGAATATGAAGGAAAGGCTACTCTACAAGCGTTTAACATTTTCTGTGTAACAAATGT